CGCACATCGTGGCCGGCGGCACGTGCGCGGCCCAGGGGGAGGCGGGGGCGTCATGAGATAAGCAGGGGCGCCCCGAAATCTGGGGAGGTGTCACGGCCCCCGCCATGAGATCCCCCCCCCCTAGTCATCGCCCCCCCCCCATGGCCGCCCAGGAGACAAGAGAGTACAATCATCGTGCTACCATCCAGAGCGCAGGCTAAGCAACAAAGGGAAGCTTTTTCTTGGCTGCGGCGAGACCAGGCCACAAACAGGCTCCACGATGTAAATCTAGGGTTAGGTCGGGCATGTCCCCCTACAGCGGATTTTGGACGAAACTTAAAAATAGTCCAAACGTGCTCCAAAATGGCCCCCAAAAGTAATCGAAGGATCGTCCCCACGTAACTCTGGGGACCGCCCGTAGAGGGACATCTCCCCCGTAGAGGGACCCGCCCGACGTAACTCTGGGGAGCCGCCCGAAGACCCGAGCCCCGAGCCTCGGAGGCGACGGAACAGAGAGCGGCACCACCCATCCTCGGGGACCGGTCCCTGAGGGCCCCCCCCTGGGGCCGAAAACAGCGAGAAGCCGGCAGCGTTGAATCTTGGGCGTCGCTTGCTGGGGGGCGGCAAGTGGGGGGGGGGGGGGGGGAGAACGGTGTACTTCTCGGGCCCCGAAGGCCCCCTTTTTCCTTTTGGGCCCTCAGGGGCCCCTTGTCGGCAGCCCTCGCTGCCCCCCCATGCATCGCCCCCTCTGAAGGGGCCCCAGAACACACAAATAAATACACACAAATAAAACAAATCTCCATATTTTCCCATGTTTGGGTTTTTGTTTGTCTTCCCCCCCCAGTGCCCATATTTTCCCATATTTTCTGGGGAATCGACGATTAATTGTGTCTGCGTGTTTCTTTCCCTCCTGACCCTCAGCACGCGACGCCCAAAACACGGGAGATCGGGTCGCTTCAAGTCAGGCCGCATCGGCACTGAGCCAGACTCGAACTGGAGCGGCTGCGCCTGGATGCACGGCAGCGCCGCGCAGGCATCGGGGGCCGGATCGGATCGCCCGCAAGCCGGAAGCGCACCGAAGCGGTCCCGCCGGAGCCGATATCGCGTCGAACCGATCGGATCGAAGGAGGACCCTCGAGCGACGCGCGCAGGAAGCGCGCGGAGAAGGCGAGAAGCTGACCGGGGCCATCGCGCAGGCCTTCCCTTCGAAGGCCCTCCAGGACTTAGTGGGCCCTTGAAACGACAAGGCCGTTTTTTTACCGGTTCCGTTTTGCAGTTTTTGTTGCCGGTTCCGACGCCGTTTTTTTACCGGTTCCGTCGCCGTTTTTTGACCCGTTCCGGCTCCAGTTCCGATCCTGGAGCTGTTTTTTTGCCGTTTCCGAGGCCCACAAAGCTCCAGGACAAATTCTGAGGGCCCCCCCGGGCCCGCCTGGCGCTCGGAGAGCACGGCCGTGCCCCCGCGGCTGCCCGGGCGGCGCGGGAGGCCGCGCGGCCGGCGGCGCGGAGGCAGCGCGGAGGCGCTGCGGCTCGGCCGTGCGCGGCGGAGGCGCTGCAGCCACGCGCGAGCAGCTCGCGCGCGGATGCCAGAGGCAAGTCGGGCATGCCGCCCTGCAGGACGAAAACCCCAAAATAGAATACTCCAGATTTCGTAATAAAGGGAGGGGGGTCTCATTTCGGGGGGGGTCTCTTCCAGGCTATCTTGGAGGGCCGAGGGGGTCTGGGGACGATGTTTTGGAGGGTTCTCCCACGGGGGAGGTCTGAAATGGCTTGTCTTGGAGGGTCCAGACCCCCTCCCTTTTATTACGAAATCTGGAGTAGCCTGGGGACGGCGTTTCGACTGTCAGCTGACCAGGTCTGAACAATGTCTTGGCTCTTCCTCGCTTTTCTTCCAAAATCCGCCTGCGGGAGGCCGGTTTCCGAGTTCAAGAAACTGGTTCGTGAATTCAGAAGCCCGACCTGATGCCGGAGCAGGTCGAGCCCGGCCTGCCTGTGCCACCACTGAAGGGGCCCCAGAGCGCTGCGGCGGCACACCCCGCGCGGGGGCCGATCGAAGAGCCCCGAAAAGCCTCGCCGCACGGCGTGAGCACCGCGAGAGCGGCGCGCAGACCCGCAAATCCGCAGCCTTGCGGCTGGGAGATTCTAAGGCGCGAGCCCGCGGATATGCGCGGTCGTAGGGGTACTCTGGGTGGTATATTCATCGAGGGGTGGGCGACCCACCTTCCGACGGAGCTTGCCCATCCACCCCCCTCCTCCTCCTCCTCCCTCCTCCTCCTCCTCCTCCTCCTCCTCCTCCTCCTCCTCCTCCTCCTCCTCCTCTCCTCCTCCTCCTCCTCCTCCTCCATTCCCCCCCTCCACCCGTTCCGACAGCACGTGTCCAACCCCCCCCAGCGGATCCAAGGGGGGGGGGAGCGATTATTGCCCCATCCAGAGTGCGCTCCGCACGGGGCATCTGCCACAAAATGGCCCGTATCTGGGGGGTCGCGGCCCAGGACCCGGCCCGCGAGGCCAGGGATACGGATTTTCTGACTAACTACCTACCAGACCACCCCAACCGAACCCGAAGACCCGAATTTCGGGCTGGGGGGGGGGATACGGGTTCCGCATGTGTGCTGGAGAGGATTTGGCAACACGCCTCATCTCCATTGATCGTCCTCCACAAGCGTAGCACCAGGCTTCCAGGCAGCGGCAGAGACACCAAAGCGTGGGGAGGTGACGGGCACAGGGCGTGGGGGATTCGAGCGGCCGCGCCCCTCCTCGTAGCCGAGGTCGTCGCCCTCCTCCTTCACCAGGAAGGTCAGCTGTGGGCGTTCGGGGCTCCGCGGGAGCCACGAGAAGGAGGTCGCCATCACCCCCCCGCCCTCCTCCCACCATCATCCACCCTCCCCCTCCTCCTCCTCCTCCTCCTCCTCCTCCTCCTCCTCCGCCGCCGCCTCCGCCTCCGCCTCCGCCTCCTCCTCCGCCTCCTCCTCCGCCTCCGCCTCCGCCTCCTCCTGCTCCTCCTCCTCACCCTCCTCCTCCTGTCTCCTCCTCCTCCTCCTCCTCCTCCTCCTCCTCCTCCTCCTCCTCCTCCCTCCCACTTACCGTTCTCCCCCTCCTGCTCCTCCTACCCCACCCTCCGCATCCCCGAGGGACGGAGGGGAGGCGACGAGAGGGAGACTCGACTCGACTCGACCCGTTCATGGACCACAGCAACCAAAAGAGGGCTGGGAGGCCCCACCATGCCAGCCAGTGCTGAATCCAGCCCTGGCGGAGCGAGAGGAGGCCGCCAGGGGAGGAAGGAGGAGGGAGGAGGGAGGAGGAGGGAAGAGGGAGGAGGGAGGAGGGAGGAGGGAGGAGGGAGGAGAGGGGACTTGATTTGGACTCGGGTCCGGTCAAAAACGCGCCCTTTGCTCCTGTCGGCGGATTGACCCGTGGCAAACTCAGGGGGGAGGCGTACTGCCAAGCGCCTCGCGTGCCGCGGCGGCTGCGCCCTCGCTTTCAAAAAAAAAATGAATCAGCAACCAAAAAAACAAACAACTAAACCAAGCGCGTGCGAAAGCGGCGGGGCCTCACGCAAGCCGGGCATTCAGCAGCTGGATCAGCCCACGTAGGCCGTGACTGCCATGCCAAGGATCGGCACAAGGAGAGGAGGAAAGGAGGAGAGAAAGAGGAGAGAGAAAGAGGAGAGAGAAAGAGGAGAGAGAGAGAGAGAGAGAGAGAGACGAAGGGCGGAGAGGAGGATGAGGGATGAGGGAGGAGGACGAGGGAAGAGAAGCAGGGAGAAGAGAGGAGGGGAAGGAGGAGGAACGGGGGAGAGACGCAGGGAGGAGCAAGGGAGGGAGGAGCCGAGGAGAGGACCGAGGCGGGCCCCTGCTTGGACACACCGACCCTCCGCTGGCCAGCGCTGCCCCCCGTTGGCCCGCCGAGGCGCCGAGACCGCCCGCACCCGGGGCGGGCGCTCGGCTGCGGCTCCGGCGCCGCACGCCGACCAGCTCGGTGCTGATCGGCGCCTCCTTGCCGCCGTCCCTCCTCCCTCCTCCTCCCTCCTCCCTCCTCCTCCCTCCCTCTCCTCCCTCTCCTCCCTCTCCTCCTCCCTCCTCGCGAAGGTAGACATCCTCACGAACTGCGACACAGTGCAGGCGAGTCACCACATCTTCGAGCACAGGATGGCGGCCTTGCACCAGCGAGTACGTGAGAGAGAAAGTCAACTGCGTGCTGCACGGGACGAGGGCAACGCCATGTTGGGACATGCGCTGAGCCGAGGAGATCTACCTGGACTGCACAGGGCACCTGCAGGGTCAGAACGCAGGGATGATCTCGAGGGTGGAGGTGCCCTCCAGAGTGATGTGCTGGCGCCGAGCGACCTGAACGATCCGCAGTACAGCAGTGAGGGCCTACCAGAGGAGCGGTCCATGGACAGCCAGCGCGACAACGGGGACCAGCAGAACTTCCTGGGCGGCCACTCCTTCGGCAGGGCGCCACCCAGCCAAGGACGGACGCCGGCTGACGAGGGCGGGCTGGCGGATGCTGTCCTCAATGCTGCCCCTTCCCCAGGGGGCACGCCCTCCGAGGTTGCGGATCCCGACCCCGCTGGCGTGGGGAGTCAACGCGACCACCTACCTGCACAGGGCGCGCCTCTGGCCGTGGGGGCTGGAGGGCGCGGGGGGGCGCAGGAGGTGCGGCCTCCGCTCCCCCCACCGCGGGCGCAGAGGGCAGAGCCGCTGCCTCTGCGCAGGTCGGGACGCGGGTCAACGACGAAAAGGGGAGGCACTGCGAGCAGTGCCAGAGGAACTCGCTGCGAGTCCTGGTGGGTGTCTTCGACTCGATGGCGGAGAGGGAGTTCCGGTTGGCTTGACGCGAAGGTCCACCGGCCTCAGGCCTTCTTCCATCGTGAGAAGTGCTTCGTCGAGAGTCAGGACCAGCGACGAGGAGGACGCTGGGTACCTGAGAACCCCGGGAGGATCTCGAGCACGTGAAGATGCGGGAGCTGCTGATGACCTTCGAGGAGCCAGGTCTTCGGTCGAGGAGAAGGGCAGCGCGAACTCCAGGGGGCTGGAGTTCAAGCGGCTCGTCGCCGTGGCTGCGGGGCGCTCGAGGGCGAGGAGGCGCTCGACTTCGTGAGGCCCCTCGGCAAGGCCGTGCCCCTCCACTGAGGAGGGGGCTGGGCGGGCGCCCGACCCTCGACCTCCGAGGCCTGCGAAATCGAAATCCTCCTCCCTCCTCCTCCTGCTCCACCCCCTCCTCCTCCTCCTCCTCCTCCTCCTCCTCCTCCTCCTCCTCCTCCTCCTCCTCCTCCTCCTCCTCCTCCTAGAAATGGATCGGGGACGAAAAGCTGCCCCCGGCAGAAGCAGTCGAGGCCTCTGGGGGCCTTTCTGGAGCCGCTCGCTCCACTCATGCGCCGTTGCAGCGTCGAACGTCCCGAGGTGTCTTGGGAGGGGGGGTGAACCCTATCCCCGGTGGCGTGGCCTTGGCCCCACTGGCGGACTTGCCCACCTGGGTGGGGGCACACATGCCCGTTCCTTCGGGCTTCGCACAGATCAAATCCCCACCCAGGAGGTCGGGCTGGTGGGGCTGAGATCTGAGATACCATGGCCCAGTGGAGGTGGAGATAGGTGAGACGATGCTGAGCGGTGGCGGCAGATCGACGGCGTGATAGCATGGCAACGTATATGCGACTACCCTGGATCCAGCCGAAGTGCGATGGTCCTGGGTGCTCACGCGTGCGGTGAGGGAGCCATTGTGGCGAAAAGCGAATGCGTACAAGCAATCTCGGTGAAGGCCCGTGCGAGGAAGTTTCGGAGGAGGCTCCTCGACACATGCGTCGACAGTTTGCGCGCCGCGAACGAGCACTTAGTACTGGAGTGGTTGTGCCAGTGCTTGCAGGTAGGGCCCAGTGCGGGCAACGGTGTCGCGATGCAGGGTGCTTGCCCAGTGGACTATGCGAGCGCGGTGCTTTGCAAACTGAGCATCATCTGCCTTGAGAGTGCGAGCGCACAGGCGCGGAGCACGAGGACATTGCGGCATCGCAAGCATGGATCAATCAGGCCAGGGTACAGCATGAAGCCTATGCGTGATGTTGTCTTCGAGGACTCGCGCCACAGGCTTGGGTGGCTTGGCCGGCCGTCACTGTCAATTCCAGACCTCCATGTTGTCGGGGAGTCTTGCTCAATCTGACGTGGACGGCATCATTGACCTCTCAACCCCGCTCAACACATGGCATTGGTATGGTGGCGGTTCGGGAGGTCCAGACGGCAACTCTGCAGCCCTCCGGCGCACGGAGTGGTCCCTCATCGCCATTGCGCAGGTGCACGTCCAGCAGAAGTTCCAGGGTGGAAAGACGCAGGCGATGGCAGGCCCCAAAACTGTGCCGAGGTCTGAGCTGACCCCCTGCCTTGCGCTCCTTGGTCGCACATCGGGGCCTGGTATTTTACCATGCCCATCACAAGAACTGAGCAGACGGTGTCAAGGCAGGCAAACCTCACCACCCATACAGCGCAAGCAACACTGACTTGTGGCATCCAATTGGGCTGGTGATGCCAAAGTCGCATTGGCCTGCGGGAGTCCGCAATGTTTTTCGGTCGCTTCGCGGCGACTGACGTCGAGAAAGCGGGCGTCATGGATCCTGTCGAGTGCCGAAGTGCGCGATCGGCCTGTCCATACCCTTGCCGACCGATTAGCCGACGGCGAGGCGAATCTGGCCCGCGTCTCGACTCGGGCCGCTTGCAAGCAGAACAGCTGGACGAAGCTTCGCAGGCGCCTGGCAGCGCCGCACGGGCAGGAGTGCTCTCCACGCAGCGCCCCAGAGCGGCCCCCCCGCCCGAGCGCCGCAGGCGGCCCGCGGAGCAGACGCGCCGGGGCGGGGCGGTCGCACAGTCGTCAGGCGTGGCAGCGCCAGGCAGTCTTGGTCAAGCGTGCCAGGCCTGCATGGACTCTGCGCGGTTCGGTCATGCCAGGATCTTGGCGTCAGACACGCTGCAACGATGGTGCCTGCGAGAGTACGATGAAAAACGTCTCCGTGAAGGACTTGGAGCAGCACTGCGAGGGTATGGGTGATGAGCATCGGCGCCGCTATCGCGTGATACTGCGGACCCTGTCAACGAGCGCGTGAAACGAATGAATTCATGCCATCATTAACTTGACACTGCTCAATTCGAATGCCTAGAAGAAGAAACGGCAAAAATATGCATAGACATCTGGAACAGGAGTTACTGTAGGCAAATCAGAGATTCATAAATATCTGACTCGCAGGAGGTGCGGATTCTCCATCCCTGCTTCCAAAGCGCAAGAGATCGCTCAAGAACCTTCGGAAGGAAAGCCGGCCACTGACCAAAACAGGTATATAAGATCTATGCCACCTGGAAGATTATCTGCTGCCGAAGGTCAACTACGACATCCTGCAAGACGATACGTCTGCCTGGGTCTAGAGGCAACTCCTAGGACCCCGACAACATCAACAGCAGAATCATCAGCATCCTCATCAACAGCATCAGCATCATTATCATCACCATCATCATCGGAATCAGCATCGCCATCGTCATCATCATCAGCATCATCGGCATCATATTCATCATCAGCATCAACATCATCATCAAAACCATCATTCACATCATCAGCATCATCGACAGCATGGCCGTCATCATCACCACCACCATCAGCATCATCATCATCATCAGCATCATCATCATCATCATCATCATCACAAGTAGCATCATCATAATCAACAACCAAATAATCACCATCAGCAGCAGCAGCATCATCATCATCATCGTCATCATCATCATTACCACCATCGTCAAGCTCACCCCCATCCTCATCATCATCAGCCGCAGTATCATCATCAGCATCGTCATCCCCGTCCTCCTCCTCATCATCATCATCAGCAGCAGCATAATATGTCTCAGCATCAGCATCATCAGCAGCAGCAGTATCGTCATCATCAGTAGCATCAGCATCATCATCCTCACCAGTGTAATAACATGATCCGCATCATCATCGTCGTCATCGTCAACAGCATGATCATCAGTATCGTCATCCTCATCATCGTCAGCAGCAGCATTGACATCAACATCCGCATCAGCACCAGCATCAACATCATCATCGCAAGCATCATCATCATCATCATCATCGTCATCATCATTATCGTCATCGTCGTCATCATCATCATCATCATCATCATCAGCATCAACATCATCATCATCATCATCACCGTCATCATCACCGTCATCGTCCGCAACAGCATCCTCCTCGTCATATCCCGCGTCGTCATCATTGTTACCATCAGCATCAAACTCGTCATCATCAGCATCATCAACATCGTCATCATCATCACCACCACCATCATCAGCAGCAGCATCGTCGTCGTCGTCGCATCGTCATCGTCATCGTCATCGTCATCGTCGTCATCAATGTGTGTCATCATGCTCATGCTCTTCCTCGTCCTCATCCTCATCCTCGGCATCCTCATCCTCGTCCTCCTCATCCTCATGTGCCTCCTCATCCTCATCGCCGTCGTCATCCTCATCAATCGTCCTGCCCCTGCAGGGGAGAGCGAAGAAACGTGTCTGGATGGGGAGGGCCTTGGCGCCAAAATTGCCCTGCAGTGCGCCAGCTCGGTCGTCCCCTCCGTTCTTCTGCAACACCACGGTCAGCGCGGTCTGCTGCCCGTACTCCAGCCTTCCGCGGGGGGACGGCGGCGGGGTGCGAGGAGGAGGAGGAGGAGGAGGTAAAGGGGGAGGAGGAGGAGGAGGAGGAGGAGGAGGAGGAGGAGATGGAGGAGGAGGAGGAGGGGGTGGAGGAGGAGGAAGAAATCGAGGAGAAGAAGGAGGAGGACGGGGGCAGGTGGCACCGCCCCAAATGACAGGATGTGCATGCCAGGAAAGGCAGAGAGACAGAGAGAGACAGAGAGAGAGAGAGAGACAGAGCGCGATGGCAAGCATACCACACGCCCACGTTTTGCTGCGGCGCCGGGCCACGGTGACGCATGCCGCTTTGACTAGGGGCGTGCATTCGCGAGCTGCTGAGTGCAGCACCTAGCCTGTCGGGCGTGGGCTCGTTGGGGAGCTTCGGGAAGTCCCTCTGGACAGACCGTCGCAGCACCTGCGGGTCATCCTTCGAAGGACACAGGACACCTGTTTTGGGGGCTGGCATTCGGCAAAAAGCCCAAGGAACCCACCCAAGTACACAGCTATGCAAATCGGAACCCTTTAGTACAATCGCTGCTTTGGGGGAAAATACACACGTTTGCCAGCTGGGCTATTGCACCTTCGATGCGCACCACAGGTGATACAATCTGTGGGATGCCATCTATGTGGTGCAGTCGACCTGGTGCAAACAACGTGGTGCGAGCTACGTAGTGCAAGCTGTCGGGTGCTATCTATGCGGTGGAATCCTCACTGCAGAACGTGAAATCGTCAACTCTCGCACAATTATCCCACCCCACCACCCGCAATATGATTTGCACAGCCCATGCGGCCGCGATTGCGGTGACTACTCGGCAATGGCTGGCGCACCCCTGCAGCTGCGATAGCGCTCGCAAGCTCGCGCGCAGAGCGGCCAGCTGGTTTGGCCCAACCGATGTGGCCGCGATGACGCGTACCGATGGGAATTCCCCAACGCCTCACAAAGGCCGCGCTGACGAGCGGGCACTCCAGTGCGGGTCGGTGACTCGGGCGGGCGCACTATCAGAATGAGGTCGACAACGGCGTCCTCAGTGATGATAGCAGCAGTGGTGGTGGCGATGATGACGATGACGACGGCAAAGCCAATGACGGCGCCGATGCTGGTGACTTCGATTACGATGATGTCCATGTGTCAGTGATGAAGGTGATTGACTGATGATGCCAGCAGTGGCGGCGAATGAAGCTGACGGTAACGGCGGTGATGCGGCGGCGTTGGTGAAGGTGATGGTGAGAAAGTGTGAGAAAGTGTGGCAGATTTGGTGTTGTACATCACTTGGTTGTCGTAGGTGTTTTGAAAAGCTCTACTTTGAAGTGTTTCGAAAACCAATGGTTGTTGACGGATTGCGACGCGCGCGCGTGCCGTCACGCACGTGGCCAGGCTGGCACGATGTCATACAAGTTCGTACACTGGGCGCGTGCTGGATCAACGAGAACGCACCGCGTTGTAGGATGATAATGCAGGTTCTGGGCAAGACTGCTAAGTTCCTATGGGCTTCCTGTGATTTCAGCAAGTGCGCGCAGGCAGAAAATCTGAAACAATTGTCACGACAGACCTACACGATGTTGAGCATTAAAATGTGGCATGATTGCGAACGACCGCGCTAAGTATGTTTTCAACATGTGCGCGCGCGTGTGGTCGTGCCACTCTTTGTGAGGGATCGTTGAAAAAATACCGCTTGAGACAAACGAATGTGCTTGCATGGTGTTACGTGACAAGCGTGCGGGGGGGTCAATACCAGTTGGGCTGGGATGGTACGAATGCATATGGAAAATGAACGACGAAGAATAATAATATGTAACGTATGCTATCCTAGAGTGTATCGATAACCCCCGGGTGGAGGTGGGAGTGCATCTCTCATTGCAAAGGGGACTCAATGGACTGCAATCTATGTGATGCAGACTGTTCGGCGGAAGTTATGGGGTGCAAAATGTGTGGATCGTGAGGGTGCTGCACATGCGGTGCAATCATTGTGGTGCAAAATTCGTGGTGCAAAACTCGTGGCGCAACATGCGGGGTGCAGTATGCGGGGCGCAAGCTGCATGCTGCCTGGCATACGTGGTGCAACCTGTGCGGTGGCACGCCGCACGGCCTACATGTGCAACCTGGGCAGCCTGACAAACCCGAAGCACATCATGGCACCCTCCCCGAACGGACCTCGACCTGATACCTCGGTCCGACCGCCGACGACCCACGACGACCCACGCACGACGACCCCCCGACCCCCGACCCCCGACCCTCGCTCCTCCTCCTCCTCCTCCTCTTCCTTGCCGCCCTGCTCTGGACAGGCGAGTTCCACTACTGGCGACTCAATTACTCGCAAATTGCCTGGATCCGCCGCGGGGGATTGACGGTACATGACCTAGAGGAAGACCTGTATATTTCGGACGTGGGAAGGCGCCTGGAAATGGGCTGGGATCTGGGAATCCAGAAATACCCAATTACTTTCAACGACCGGCGTGCACCTGAAGACCTCAATGCAACAACAGTTCGGGGGAATTAACGCCTCCCCTCTCTCCCTCCCTAGAGGCCTCCTAGATGGGGTCGGAGTAGATGGGGTCGGAGGATCGTGCTGCATCGCCGATACATCTGCGATACATCGTCGATGCATCGGCGATGCATCGGGGATGCATCGGCGATGCATCGTCGACGTTGGCGATGCAACGGCGGCGCTGACGTGACACAACTCGGCCTGCACGTCGAGCCACATCGGCGATGCATCAGCGATGCGGCGCGATCCTCCGACCCCATCTACTCCGACCCCATCTAGGAGGCCTAGACCCCCTCCACCCAAGGGATCTCGAAGGACCTGTTGATCTTCGTGGCACCCAGCTCCGTCCAGCCAGGCTCCACCCCCGTCAGCACCACTGCGACGTCCTGCGGAGCGCCCGAAGCCAGCGCGGGTTATTCCCCTTCCTGCTCCACTCGCCTCCCGATCCTCCTCCTCCTCTCCTCCTCCTCCTCCCTCCTCCTCCCTCCTCCTCCTCCCTCCACCTCCTCCTCCTCCTCCTCCTCCTCCTCCTCCTCCTCCTCCTCCTCCTCCTCCTCCTCCTCCTCCTGCTTGGGAGCTGGCCAGTCCGGGCGGTGGGCGACGAGTTCCTGCAGCCGCGCCAGCCGTGGGATGCGTCCCCTTTGGGCCTGAGCCACGACCGTCGGCGAGGCGCGCGGGCCGTCGGAGGCTGTGCCCGGGCACCCCGGGCCAGCCCCTGTGGCCCATGGGAGGGGTCCACACAGGGACCCCTGCTGCTCGCCGCGCCGGGCCGCCGCAGTGCCCCCCCCCCCTGCACACTGGGGCGACCCTCGCCCGGGTGAGCTGGAGGAGGAGGAGGAGGAGGAGGAGGAGGAGGAGGAGGAGGAGGAGGAGGAGAGGGAGGGAGGAGGAGAGGGAGGAGGAGGAGGAGGAGGAGGAGGAGGAGGAGGAGGAGGAGGAGGAGGAGGAGGAGGGGAGGGACGAGGAGGGGGAGGGGAAGGAGGAGGAGGATGAGGAGGAGGAGGAGGAGGAGGATGGGGGGGGTCGTGGCAGGGTCGTGGCAGTACCTCCTCCACAGGCACTGCGCGACGTCCTGATGACGCTCGGCCGTCGTTGTGCGGGCAGGCCGAGGGGCCCGGCCGCGAGGCGCGTCGACCAGCCCGGGCCAAGCGACGGGCCGCAGAGCGGACCAGCGCGGTGGAGCAGCTTCGTGGACCTCCCTCCTCTCCACGTCCCACTGCAGTCGCGTACCTCCTCTTATCAATCCTACTCATGATGCTCCCCATCCTCACCCGCCAGCCCCCACCCGCCCTGGCCGCCTTCGCGTCCGTCCCTCCTCCTCATATGCCACTCCTCCTCCCCATCCTCCTGCTCCTCCCTCCGCATCGTCCTCCTGCTGCTGGTCCGCCCTCTGATCTCCCCTGGCCTTTCGCTGCCCGTCTGGAGCGTCCTCCAGCGTAATGCCCTGCACCGTGTTCTCCACTCTGAACTCGAGCACGGCATGCTGCTTGAACATGTGCTTCACGACCTGCACCGTGTACTCGGCCTCGTGAGCCGAAGAGAGAAAAGGGGCCGGAGAGGGGCGAAACCTAGGGCGGCGCGCCGAACGTGTGCGTCTCGGTCCGCAGCATCTGCTCGCCTCGCGAACTCTGAGGCCGGTCACGGGCAGCCCAGCTGCCCAGGCTGATGGAGCATCGCGTAAGACGCTGAGAACGGAGGCAGCAGGTGCGCGAGAAAAACAGGTTGAGACTAAAACGTCTTTATCACAAACCTTGCTGGCCGCTTCCCCACTCGGGCGCACGCCGACATGGATTTGGGATCAGTGGATTCGGCGCGCGGGCGCCAGATCCATAGATCGGGGAGGTACTCCCCGAAAAATGAAGCCAATGCCGCCCCATCTGGCGACAGAGCGCGTCGATTCCGTATGGGAACGGGACCCGTCACTTATCCGCATTGCCTCAATCCATATTTGCGTTTCCTCGACCCACGCCTCGGCGCCAATTGCGACGGACCCCCCGCTGCGCCGACCGCCGCCGATCCCACCAGAACAAGGGAAGGAGTAAGCCAAGAGGAGGAGGAGGAGGAGGAGGAGGAGGAGGAGGAGGAGGAAGTGGGGAGCGGCGAAGGGGACGAGGCGGGGAGCAGAGGGGGGTGGGTGGGGGATTAAGAGGAGGAGGCGTGGGCAGGGGGAGAAGCCGCTCGCTCTCGAAATCGAGCTCGCCAGTGAAACCGTCATGCGTGGATGAAGGGGCCCTGGCCACCCCTCCCGCCCCAAGGGGCCCCCAAGAGCCCCCCAAGAGGCCCCAGGGGAGCCCAATACGCCGCCAAGGAGCCCCAAGACGCTCCCAAGAAGCCCCCAAGAAGCCCCCAAGACGGCCCCAAGAGGCCCCAAATAGCGCTCCAGGGCCGGCGGAATGAGCGAAGCGATTAAATAAAACAATTCCCCATATGTTCCCAAATTTTCTTGGTTTTTGGATTCCCCCCCACTTCCCATATTTTCCCAAATGTTCCTGGGGATCGACACTTGATTGTGTCTGTGTTTTTCCCCCTCCTGAGTGGAGGAGGGCGGGAGGGGGAGAGAGCGGGGAAACCAAACGACACCGACACCGCGACTCCCAAAAAGCCTCTTCTGGGGTGCGCTCCGACCCGGATGCCGAGGCGAGTCCCGCCGTGGCGACGAGGGCCTCCCAGGAGGCCCCAAAAGGCGAAGACCAGGCAGCAGTGCAGGTGACCCTCCCTTTTCCGAGGGCGGACCCGCGGAGTTCTCCTCGAACCCTCGCGGATGAGCGCGCGTGGCCGCGAGCGCCCGAGAAGGTCGAGGGCAGAGAGAGGAGTCGCGACGGCGCGGAGCAAGTGAGAGGCAACAGGACAAAAACGGCATCCCGAGCACCACCGGCAGGAGCAGCAAAGACGAAGCAAGAGCTGGGTGAGGCGCAGCCAAGACGGGAACAAAAACGAACCGGGACGACAAACCGGGACCCCTGCGATCCGACGGTGCTGAAGGATGTATAAGGCGACGCGGCGGATCCCAATCGATCCTGGAGCGCTCTGTAACGATGTCTTCTGGCCCTGCGCGGCAAGAGCAGGGTCAGGGATGGACAGACCCCCCTTTAGTAAAACGTGGTTTAGTGAAAACGACCTGAGGCCTCAACCTGGCGGGCGCAAGCCTGGAAAATAACGGCCGCGGCGCCCTCTCGAGAACCGAAAACGGACAATTCACTAATCGACGTGTCACAGTTAGGAGGTCTGTCCACCCCCGAGACAAGAGCAGGAACAGCACTGGAGCAACAGAAGACTGCTCAAACGGGCGGCGCGCAGATTTCTCGGGCCCGCGCCAACTCCCCGTCCCCTGGCGTGCGGCGCCGGAGGCGCCACCAAGAGTCCAGCACCGACCCGAAAAAACTGCGCGGACGCCAGAGGTCTCTGCCTTCTCCGCATCATCACCATCATCAGCATCATCATCATCATCATCATCATCATCATCATCATCATCATCATGATCATCATCATCATCAGCATCATCGTCATCATCAGCATCAGCGGCAGCAGCAGTAGCATAATCAGCAACATCAGCATCATAATCATCTTCAAAACAACAACAACAGCAACAGCAACAACAACGCAACAACAACAATAACAATCACAACAACAACAACAACAACAACAACAGCATCATCATCATCATCATCATCATCATCATCATCATCCTCATCATCATCATCATCATCATCAGCATCATCATTATAAGCATCACCAGCATCATCGTCATCATCACCAGCAGCATAATCAGCATCATCATCAGCATCATCACCACAATCAGCATGATTGACATCAGCAGCAGCATCAGCATCATGGTCAGCATCATCACCATAATCATCATCAAACACCACACCATCAACATCATCATCGCATCATCATCCATGACATCATCATCATCATCATCATCATCATCATCATCATCATCATCATCATCATCATCATCATCATCATCATCATCATCATAATAATCGTCATCATCCTCATCACCATCACACACCACCACCACCACCATCATCATCAACAGCATCACCATCAGCATCAGCATCATCAACAGAATGAGCATCATCAAAATCAGCATCAGCATCAGCATCAGCATCAGAATCATTATCAGTATCAGCATCATCATTATCATCATTATCATTACCATCACCACAAGCAGCAGTCACCATGATCATCATCCTCCGCATCATCACCAGCAGCAGTAGCCATCATCATCATCCTCATCATCATGTCATCGTCAGCATCATCATCACCATCAACAACATCACAATCAGCATTACGTTGTCGTCCTCCTCCTCGGCCACCTCCTCCTCCTCATCATCATGCTCACAATCATCACCATCATAATCGACATCATCATCATCAGCATCGTCATAATGACCATCAGCAGCGTCATCAGTACCACGAAGTGCCATCATAGACCATCATAATCACGGCCATCATCCGCAGATACAATCATATGCCATCATTGTTGTAATTACTCCACCATCTGCCAAAATAAGTATCATCATCAGCATATACCATCATATGCAATCATCATCATCACCATCAGCATCACCACGTGCCATCAAAAACGAGAGTCAGCAGCAACAGCATCATCAACATCATCATCAGCAGCATCACAATCCATCATCAGATCTCATCATCATCACACGGATCATCCTTTCGTCGTCCTTCACCTCCTCCTCCTCATCATCATCATAATCATCATCACATGCAATCGCATGCTATCACCATCATTGTCATCAGCAGATGCCGTCATATGAAGTCCTCCTGATATTCCGCCATATGCAATCATCATCATCATCACCACCACCACCACCACCAGCATCATCATCACCATATGCCGCCATTTGCCATCATCATCATCATCAGATCCCATAATATGTCATCTTCATCATCAGCAGCATCAGCATCACCATCATCATATCCTCAACAGCAGCAGCAGACGCATCATCATCACACGTATCATCAATCAGATAACCAACCAACCAACCAACCGACCATCCATCCAACCAACCACCCAACCAATCAACAAGCATCATCATCAGTCGCAGCAGGAGAGCGGCAGCAGGAACAAGTGCGGAGGCAACTGTCACAGGCAGCTGCGGCACGATCGCAGGCACACGCTAACAGGGATTGGGGAAGGTTCCCACGGAGACAGGCGGCCGATGCCGCCTGACTTGGCGTCGGAGAGCGCCGAGTCTGTACGGAAACAATCGCCTTTCTCTCAGATGCGCGTTCTGGGAACCTTCCTGGCGCCACTCGCTCCACCCGCGCGTCGATGCGACGAACTTGAGTCGAACCCGAGTCGAGCTTTCATCGAGCTCGTGTGAATCGAACGAGGAGCGAACAGATCTGTCAGGCGGGCCCTGGGGACTGACACGCTCAAATGCGTGCGGAAGCCACGGGCACGACGCCGAACAACAGATGCTGGCCACACCGACGGCGGCCGCTGCTGGGCAGGCGACCCTCTGCCTCGAGTGGGCACGGCCTGCGGCCTCATCGACAGCGGGTCCTGCTCTACAGGGGCAGGAGCTGCCCCCAGGCCAGACCCAAGCGCTGCTTCTAATGTTGTGCTCGTTTCGTGTTTCGTCTCCCGTTTTCCTGTACCTTCCCCTGCCAAAACGAAAAAAACAAAACACAGCCGAAGTCCAGCAAAACAGCGTTTCGATCCAGCCCTGTGCTGCCCCTCCTCGTCCCCGAATATTTCCGTGCCCCCTTCGCCCGTGCCGAGCGTCTGCCCTTCCTCGCCACGGGCAGCGGCGGCGGCGACACCGGCGGCGCCCCGACCTTTCTGAGGTCTGCGCCCGGAGTGCTCTGGAGAGGGGGGAGAAGGGGCCAGACCATCCTCGCGTCCTGAAAATATGGAGGCGCCAGGTTCAGGTCAAAAGATATGCAAGAGTGGTCGAGAAATGGTCCCCAGACTATTTTAGGCTATGCTCAAACACTCCTCCTGTAGAGGGGCACGCCCGACGTAACGCCAGGACCCTTGGCCGGGTGCGGCCCCCTCGGGACCCTCGCCAGACAACCACCCCTGGGATGAGAAACCCGGGCCCCGGGGCGAGGGCAGGATCGGCCAGCCTCGAGCCAGCAGATCGGATCGAGTCGAAATGTGCATCGGATCGGGCTGCACCACATGGCGCGAACCCCAAACAGCCCGCTCGCGCCACGAGCGTGGAACTCCGCGCGTGCGTGTGCAACAGCATGCCTCTGGAGACCCCCGCGTGTGGATGTGTGAGATACGCCCCAGACCCCAGGTGAGCGTCTCTGTTTATTCGGCGTTTCGACATTGGGCGGAAAGGGGGGGGGAGGGGGGGTCTGGCTCCAGACCTCTGCTAGAGTGCGACTGCTTGCAGGAGTGCTGCCTCTGAGGGAGACTCCACCCGCTCGAAGCAGGCGCCAAAGAGCAGCCAGGATCTGCTCCACAAGGGGGGGGAAGGGGGGGGGGTGCGCGGGCTCGCGCCGATCGGCGAAGCAATGAATCCGCCGACCCTGTCGGCGTGTGTGTGAGGTGTCTGTCCGGTCCCGTCGACGGGGAGCTTTTTGTTCGTCCCCTCCTTCCCATCCTCCTCTCCCGTCGGGGGGAAAGAGAAAGAGAGAGAGAGAGAGAGCACCCTTCCTCGTTCGGGGAACGGGCTCGCAGCTTGAGGGAATTCCATCCACGTCCTCATTGCGTCAAAGGGAAGCCCCTTCCCTTTGTCCCTTCCCCAGCAGGGGGGAGGGTCCCGGGGGGCGGGGGGGTCAGATTGGCATCGCCTCTGGGGTCCTCCTCTCCCACGCGGGTCCTTCTCTGGCGCGCTGGTCCTCCTCGGGTCCTCCTCCCCAGGTGGGGAAAAGTCCCATGGGGGGGGGAGGGGAGTCAACTACGCATCCGTCCCTGGGAGTCCGCCTCCCCCTCCCCTCCCCTCTCCCACGCCGGTCCTCCTCCGGTCCTCCTCCCCAGGGGGGGCTCCCAGGGGGGGGAGTCCTTTCCTCCTCCTTCTCCTCCTCCTCCTTATGTCCGCCTCCTCCTCCTCCTCATCCTTCTCCTCCTCCTCCTCCCCCTCCTGGTCGTCGTCGATGTCGTTCAGGGTCGGCGGCGCAGGCCGTCTAACCTTCACAATAAAAAAACGATCACCATCAGAGTATCGTTTAACCAGCCCCAATGCCCACCTGCGTGGCCTGGGCCCCACTGGCCGATGGAATGCCCTGGATGGGGATATGGGCCGTCCCCTTCGGGTTTCGAGGGGTGTATCCCCGACTGGGGTGCTGAGATGTTGGGGGTGTGGATGGGCATGGGAATGGGAACGGGGCTCGGTGGAACGATACTGAGCATCGGCACAGGAGCCGAGATCGAGGCGGATCGGCTGCAGCGGGATGCACATCGGCGCCCTGCAGGCATCGGACCGCATCGGATCGTCAGAAGGTCGGAGTCGAATCGGATCGGGCCAGCCCGCATCGACATCGAAGCGGGTCGATCGGATCGACGTGGACCCTGAAGGACCAGGTGCTCCGGGGAAGACCTCCGGACGGCGCACGTCTGCGGGGGGAGGAAGGGCCTCGAAAATCGGCGGCGCGCGCCCGCGGGGGGATGGGCGGCGGGGGCGAGCCCTGCTCAGAGGCCCCCGGGCCTCCCGAGGAGCTGCCCGAGCCTCCTCCGCGGGCACTGGGCGCCTCTCAGGAGTCGAGGCCAGGGGGCCGAGGCAGAGGCGGAGGCGGCGGCGGAGGAGGCGGAGGAGGCGAAGGAGGAGGAGGAGGGGGAGGAGGAGGAGGAGGAGGAGGACACGAGAAGGGCACGGGGAAGACACGAGGAGGTCCCCCTCGCCCCGCCGCCAGTCGAAGAAGGAGAGCACTGGCCGCACGCGGGCGCGGCCCTGGGCAGGAGTTGCCTCCAGCATGGGGAAGCGGGTCCTAAGGGAAAGGGGACCTTGGGACGCACAGAGACATACTAATACTATGTACATGTCCTCCTTGGAGGCGCGCGTCCGACCCGAACAGATAGTAGACCCATCTGGTAGTAGATCGCCTCCCGAGCGGTGTGGCCAGAAAAAAAGCACGGCACGGCACATGTACTATGAGAATTCTCGGTGCGCGCGTCGCCCCTGGGGGGTCGACGCGCATGTCCTCCTACAGGCGGATTTTGAAGGAAAATGAAAAATAGTCAAACGATACTCAAAAATAGTCAACAAAATACTGAAAAAAAACGTCCCCTGATTATGTTTCCCTATTTTTGAATACTCCTACTGTAGAGGGACAGGCCCAAGTTGACATAGTATGTTGGGGTGACGCCGAGTCCTGGACTCTGGGGCCTTCCCCCAGGACCAATTCTCCATCCCGAGTCGTGATCTGACAGCCTTGGGGCCCGTTGGGGGGCCCGGGGATCCCAAAAACAATGAAAAACTTCGGGAGGAAAAGGAGGAGGAGGAGGAGCTGTTTCCCTCAGGAAGCGGCTCCTGAGATGGCTCGCCCGCGCCTCCTGCATGAAGGAGGGCGACGACGACGGCGGACGGGATTGCTGCGCCCGCGGCAGCCGCCTGGGCTCGAGCCGGCGCCAAAGGGCGCCGCTTGACACGTGGCCAGTGGCGACCCTCGCTGGCCGCCGGCCCTCGCCTCCGATGGGCGCACACGCTTCGCGACGAGGGGCCCCCCTCCTCCTCCTCCTCCTCCTCCTCCTCCTCCTCCTCCTCCTCCCTCCTCCTTCTCCCTCCTCCTCCTCCTCCTCCTCCTCCTCCTCCTCCTCCACCTCCTCCTCCTCCTCCTGCGGCTCTGCATCCCGAGCCGTCTCTCTTGGAGACAAGCGCGCGTGCCGCTGCTCGCACAAGTTGTGACTCGCGGGTGGCCCTGGATCCGCCGCGGGAGAGGCGCGGTTTACTGCCTATAGGGGAAGACGTGCTTCCTCGGACGCTCGCGAGCACTGGTCACTTTTTGCGAGTAGCGGAAAGCGCGCGCGGTGATATTGGCCGTGCCCATAGAGGCCTCCTAGATGGGGTCGGAGTAGATGGGGTCGAAGGATCGCGCCGCATCGCCGATACATCGACGATGCATCGGCGATGTATCGGCGATGCATCGGGGATGCACTGGCGACGCATCGTCGACGTCGGCGATGCATCGGCGATGCCGACGTGGAGCAAATCGGGCTCCACATCGACCCGCATCGCCGATGCATCGGCGATGCGGAGCGATCCTCCGACCCCATGCCATCTACTCCGACCCCATCGAGGAGGCCTAGAGCCCAGGACTGGGAGTCCGGAGGCTGCCCCCAGAGGCCGAGGCCGGGCAACAGCAGCAGAAGCGCGAGATGGGTGCGTCAGTGGTCCAAAGAGTGGGGCCCTGAGGGCTGGGGGCCTAAGGACAGAAGAAAGGGATCCAAGGGAGGATGTACGCTGCTTGAGGCAGCTCGTCCTCGGGACCCCATCCCTCAGGACCCCATCCCTCAGGACCCCAGCTTTGAGCCACCGCATGTCGCCTCCCGTGACGCAAGCTTCGGCTCCATTCCGCCGGGGTGATGGGCAGGCGCAGCCGGCGCCGAAAGTTCTGGCGCACGACAGACCCGGGATGAATGGAACAGACGAAAACAGAAGTGTTATACATGCGTGCATGTATATACACGTATGGTTATACCTCTCTACATATAAACAAGAATACATGTGTATATATATATACACACACATCCAACCAACAAACCAACAACACCAAACAAGCAAGCAAGAATACAAACAAACGAACAAACAAACTAGCTAAATACCTACCGAACTAACTACCAACCGACCTAACCAACAAACGAAGTAAGTAATTGACTGACTGACTGACTGACTGACTGACTCACTAACTAAGTAACTGATGAGCATTCCAAGGAGGCCCCCGGGCATCCCGAGGAGGCCCCCACGGCCTCCAGAGCACACCTCACGAGGCCCAGAGGGCCCCAGGCGCTGCGAGCTGGAGCGAGAAGCGGGGGGGCACCCTCGGGCCACGGGGCACTTCTGGCAGCACCCGACCGAAGGGAGGCGGGCGCGCCTCGTTCTCCGTGAGCGACCTGGGCCTGCAGCTGTGCTGCAGCGGGCCCACGCTGCTGAGGTCGCCGACGATCTCGCCGAGCACGCGGTTCAGTTCCTGCCCCCGCGCCGTCACGAAGGGTGCGGCGACCCCAATTCCCAACTTTGGGGGTTGTCTCGGCTGAAGTAAAGCTTTGGGCCCGACCTGGGCAGTATACGAAGGGAGGGGGGGCGTCCATGCGCCCGAACAGCTGCCTGAGGGTGTACCCCCGAGTGCCTCCCCTTTCCTGAGCGGCTTCACTTCTTCGGTCAGAATTCGGGCGGCTTCACTTGTCAAGTCGCCCCAGCGCCGCACCGATACCAACGCCAACATCCTCACCCTTCAGAAAATCACGGCGGGAAGGTTTTTCGCCGCGCTCGGTCCCTGGGAAGCCCTTACCGGGCTCCGGGACCGCCAAAAAGCGACTTAGGATACGAAGCTGGTCCCTGGGGAGGGGTCCAGGCCACGTTGGGAAAACAACACAACGTCGGATGGCTGGGGGCAGCGGGGAGAGGCGACGGCAAAATGCAACGACGGCCTGTGCATATGTAGGGACCAGCGACAGCTCAAGAAGCGGAGCGAGCAAATGCGACCTCATGGCACCGCACACGGGAGGCACACAGCATTCAGCAAGCAGATCTGACCTCGGGGGAGCGCGCGCGCGGCACTGGTGGCACCACTCAACACCACATGGCGCGAACCCCAAAAAGCCCGCTCGCGCCACGGGCGTGGAACTCCGCGCGTGCGTGTGCAACAGCATGCTTGTGGAGACCCCCGCGTGTGGATGTGTAAGATACGCCCCAGACCCCTGGTGAGCGTCTCTTTTTATTCGACATTGGGCGGAAAGGGGGGGGGGAGGGGGGGGTCTGGCTCCAGACCTCTGCTTAGTGCGACTGTTTGCGAGAGTGCGTCCTCTGAGGGGAGACTCCACCCGCTCGAAACAGGCGCCAAAAAACAGCCAAGATCCACTCCAGGCGGGGGGGATGGGGGGGTGCGAGGGCCCGCGCCGATCGGCACAACAATGAATAAACAAACGCTCACCAGACGGTTGTGACTGTTTCATGGCGGACCCCTCGGGGGCGGCCAAGAGGAGGGCGTCCGAGAGGGGGGGGTGCAAATCATTTCATGTGTCCGAGAGGGGGGGGTGCAAATCATGGCTGGCGGCATGTGCGCGGCCCAGGGGGGGGGGGCCGGGGACGTGTTGAAATAAGAAGTGGCGCCATGAGATCTGGGAAGATATCATGGCCCACGCCATGATACACCCCCCCCCCTGGTCATCCCCCCCCGTCTTGGCCGCTCTCGAACCCCTATAGAGGTCTCGACCCGCTGCCGGGGGGACCGGCCGCTCGACCCGAGTCGCTCCCGACAGCCCGCGAGGGCCCCGCGAGGGCCCGCACAAAGGCCGAGGCCGCGGCGTGCAGAGGCGGCGGCGCGCGGCGCCCCGCGGGCCGGCGATGCGGCGCGCGGGGCCCGCCCGAGGTGGCCTCGGACGGCCCCGAGGAGGCCCCCGGAGGGGCCCGAGGATCCTCCAAAAGACAGCCTCGAGACGGCCAAAGAGGGCCCCTGGACGGTCCAGGACGGCCCCCCAGAGAGCCTCGAGCTGGCCCCAACAAAGGGGCCCGAGTCGTTCCTGACAGCCCTGGGACCCCAGAGGGGCCAGACGATCCTCCAAGAGCGCGTTTCTGCATTTTCGGCGATAATAAGCATATGAGGGGGGGGGAGGAGGGGCCAGGAGGCGGGGGGTGTGCCCGGCGGGGGCAGTGCCCGGAGCGCCCTGCGGGGGAGGGGCGTTACGGTCTAGGGGGGGGGGCCGGGGACTTCAGTGCCCAGTATGCCCCAAGCAGTAAAGAAACACGCTCCAAGACGGCCTCGAGACAGCCAAAGATCGGCGGTGGACAAACCTCCCTTTAGTAGACCTCCCCTTTGTGAAAACGGCCTGGGACCGAAACCGACGGACCTGGACCCGCAAAATGACGGCCGCGACGCCCTCTCGCGAACCGAAAACGGGCAATTCCTTAATCGACGTGTCAGGGTACGAGGTCTGTCCACCCCCGAAAAGAGAGCCCCTGGACGGTCCAGGACGGCCCCCAAAGAGAGAGCCCCGAGCTGGCCCCCCCCCAAAAAAAGCCTTCGAGGGACGCCAGACGGCCTCGGGGCCTCTTCACGGCTCCGGGCGGCTCCGGGCGCCTCGAAGACGGCCTCTCCCACGACGGGTCTCGCCCGGTGGCTGCCCCCGCGGGCGCCCCTCGTACGCCTGGTGGGCGTGGAGTGGTCTCGCCCGGTGCCCCCGTGGGCGCCTCGTGTGGCGGGCGGCCGCATAGATTACACTGCCTTGTTTCTGCCACATTTCGGCGGCGAGCGAAGGGGGGGAAGTGAGGAGGAGGAGACCTTCTCAGAAGGCCGCGGGACTTCTCAGAAGCCCTCGCGACTTCTGCAAAGTTGGTTTGTCTTCGGGGAAGGCTGAGAACGCTTCTCAGAAGGCCAGGGGACTTCCGAACCTTCTGGGAAGGCCGTCTCCTTCTCACTTCCCCCCCTCGCTCGCCGCCAAAGATGGCTTGCACCATACAGCCTTGCACCACACAGCTTACAAGACGTGGCTTGCACCACATAACTCACGCCACACGGCTTACACCGCACAGCTTACATCCCATAGCTTGCACCGCACAGTCTACACCACGTAGCTTACACCTCGTTGCTTGCACCACACGACTTGCGCCACATAGCTTACAACACGTGGCTTGCATAACATAACTCACACCACACGACTTACACCGCACAATTTACATCCCATAGCTTGCACAGCAGTTTTCACGTAGTTTACACCGCGTTGCTTGCACCACATGGCTTTGACCAAATAGCATACAACGCGTGGCTTGCACCACATAAATCACACCACACGGCTTACACCACACAGCTTACATCCCATGGCTTGCACCGCAGAGTCTACACCATGTAGCTTACACCTCGTTACGTGCACCGCATGTGTTACACAACATAGGTTACAACACGTAGCGTAAACCACATAGCTTCCACCGCATAGCTTGCAACGTATAGCTTGCACCGCATAGACTGCACCGCATAGCTTGCACCACAAGCCTTGCGACACACACCTTGCACATCCACAGTGCAACAACTTACTGCTCAGGGGTCCACGCTGGCAAACATTTTGATCGCGCGAGCAATGCGGATTGGTATTGGTGAGTTGGCAAATACTGCCCTCCAGCGTGCCACCACTGGGGGCAGGTGCAGACGAGTGCCATCGGCTAGCCGACTGAATGCTGGCCAGGGAGCCTGCTGGCCTGCAGGAGCTGCCGCACGAGCCACGACGCACTGACGAATCATGCAGGTTATTGCCCACGTCCGCTGGGTCGATGATCCTCAGGGCGTGTGTCAGGGCCAGCGTGTGCTCGTCCACCGAGGCCTTTCAGCACGACGCAGACGTGTGATGGGGGCCGAGATCGTGTGCGTGCTATCGGTCGAGCTCGACGAGGTAAGCACCCACGGAGTCAACACACGTCCCGAGGATCATCGGCTGGGGTGCGGTGGGTCGGAGAGGCACGCAAGAGAACTGCCTGAAAACCGCAGGCGTGCAAGTTTGTACAGTGGCGCACTCTGCTTCCGCTGGCGACATTTAAACAGTTTGTCGGCGGGGCTCTGTGGAGATCCGACGCGGCGCCCGGTCGATGGCCGGCGCGTGCACCCGCGCGTGGGGCCGGGGGGGAAGCCCGCGGCTCCGAGGCCCACGACAAGGCCCGCTGCATCTCTAGCGGCGGGCCGCGCCGTGGGTGACTGAATTCTGGCAGGCGCTCATCGCCGTGGGCGTCTCGTGCCGCCGCGGGCGCCCGAGGGCCACGGGCCCGTGCAGAGTGCGGAGGAACCCCGCAGATGCCGACACCGCGGCCGGCCAGGACCTCTCCCGGGGTGCGCTCTGTCCAAAAGTTCTGGGAAGCCACATGCGAAGCCCTACCCCACCTCCCCCCTTAGAAATCGAGGGGTGGTGGGGTACAGTCAACCCGTATAGTAAGGATGCGCGATAAGGATGCAAGGGCCTTGGAGGACCATTTCGATGCTTTTCGAGCGGGGCACGGCCAGAGAAAGTGGTCAAGGATGGGCCGAAGGAACAAGGATGCAAGGGTATCCTTGGGAAGGTTGCCCATCCTTATTTTGCGGGTTGACCGTAGGGCTTCGCATGTGGCCTCCGCAGAATCGGCGAGAATCCAGCCGTGGCGACGGGGGCTTTCCAGGACGGTCAGCGGCTTCGGGCACCTGCCTCTCCCTCCTCTCTGGGACCGGGCGCACGCGGCGACGCAGCGCCCCGGATGGCGACGCCAATGGCACTGCCGCAGCTGCGCTGAGCTTTGGAGGCGGCCAGAAGGTCGGAGCTGTTGGGACCCGAGAAAAACTCTCCCGAGAAGAAGGGCTGACAACAAAATCCGCTTCAAATCTACCCCCGGAACCTTCCCGGGCACCATCTGGTGCAAGTTTCCCGCCCGGGCCCGTGTTTGACGGCCCCGGGGCCCGAGAACGGGCCAAAAATATTGAAAACACACACACACACACACAGACACCAAAAAAAGCCCACCCAACAAATAAAACCCTCCCAAACCATACCCTCCGACCACAAAACAACTACCACCACAGCAAGCAAACAAAAACTCCAACAACACACCTCCCACAAAAAAAACACCCTCGCACCCAGAACTTCGCACCTCGCCCTCCCTCTTCTGCCTGCTCGCCCGCAGCAGAGGTGCCTGGGCTAGGGGGCCACATGCGAACCCTGCCCCTACCCCCCTACGATTTCTGAGGCGGAGGGTGGGGTTCGCTTCGCTCGGGAGCTGCCGAGGGGAGTGAACCCCACCCTCCCCCTCAGCAGTCGTGTGGGGCAGGGGCAGGGTTCGCATGTGGCCCCCTAGCCCAGGCACCTCTGCTGCGGGCGAGCAGGCAGAAAAGGGAGGGCGAGATGCGAAGTTCTGGGTGCGAGGGTGTTTTTTTTGTGGGAATTGTTGCTTGTTGGACTTTTTGTTTGCTTGCTGTGGAGGTATCTGTGGCCCCCTGATGGGCCACCTCCGGCCCCCCGGCCGCCGCCAAGCCGAGCCCGCTCACAGGATCTCCCAGCCGTCCAGGTCGTCGTCCTCCTCGGCGGGCGCCCCCGCCGCCGCGGCCGCGCCGGCCCCGCCCGCGGCCCCGGCCGCGGCCCCGGCCTCCCGCCGCGCCCGCGCCTCGGCGAAGGCCCGGGTGGCCTCCCTCGCGGCCTCGGCCTCGGCCTCCAGCTGCTCCTGGATGCCGAACGAACAACGCACACCCATACCCATGGGGAGGTCGTTGAGAGGAGGACTGTCTTTGGGTATGGGTGCGGGTTGTCGGACCCTGGGGAACGCTTCCGTTCGAGCGGGGACCCCCATCCGACAATACGCACCCATAGCCCTCTCCGATCCCCCTATGGCTATGGGTGTGTGTTGTTGCTGCTCGGCGCGGAGAATGCCGGCCGTGCATCCCATGCTGCTGTCACGTCTCGCTGAGAAGCTCTGTCTACGAGCGTCTGACTGAGCGCGAGTCCGCGTAGAGGACAGGCGCGCCGACGACGACGACGACGACGACGCCGACGCCGACGACGACGACGACGACGACGACGACGACGGCGACGACGACGACGGCGACGACGACGACGACTTCAGTGACGTCCGCCTCCGTCTCCTCCTCCTCATCCTCCTCCTCTGGACATCTCTCGAAGAGAGACGATGGAATCACAATTGAAAAAGAGAGGGGGATTGCCTCTTGCCGTTCTCCCCGCGGCAACTCCAGCAAACGCGCATGGCGCTGATACGCCCGCTTTCTGGCGTGCTATCCTCGGCGCCTGCTGGCTGTCGGGTGCCCAAGTGCCACACCAGCTATACCGCGGTAACGTGAGTGTGGATGGTCTGAGCACGAGCGAGTCAGAGTTTGAGTGATTCGGGGTATGATTGATCCTGAGTGTGAGTGAGTTTGGATATAGTCAGTCTGAGTACGAGTGGGCCTGAGTATGAGTGAGTCTGAGTGCAAGCGAATCTAAATGCGAGATGATTGATCCTGAGTGTGAGTGAGTTTGGATATAGTCAATCTGAGTACGAGTGGGCCTGAGTACGAGTGAGTCTGAGCGCAAGCGAGTCTACATGGGAGTGGGTCTGAGTGGAGTGAGCCTGAGTGTTGGTGAATGCGAGTTGGAGTGTGATGAGTACACATCATCTGAGTATGAGTGAGCCAGGTGCGAGATAGTCTGTGTATGAGTGAGTCTGAGGGTGAGTGGGTCTGAGCGTGAGTTGGTATGGGTGTAAGTGAATATGAGTTTGAATGGGTCTGGAGATCAGTCAGGAAGTATGTATGAGTGTGAGTATGATTTCATCGGAAGTTAGGGGGTGAGTCCGACGTGAAACGGAGACCCCCCCTCCCCCTACCAGGAAATCGAGTTCGGTTTCGGGTTCGTCGTGCGTGCCGTGCGTGCGTGCGGGCGAGGCGAAGCTGCGTGGGCGGGCGAGAGGAAATCCTCCTGTGGCTGGGCCACGGCCGGACCAAATGTTTCTCCTCTGGCGGCCAGTGGCCCGCGGTGTCCCGCCGGTGTCCCGCTGGTGTCCCGAAATCCTCCTGTGGCTGGGCCGCGGCCGGACCAAATGTTTCTCCTCCAGCGGCCGGTGGCCCGCGGTGTCCCGCCGGTGTCCAGTGGTGTCCCAAAATCCTCCGGTGGCTGGGCCGCGGCGGGACCAAATGATTCTCCTCCGGCGGCGAGTGGCGCGCGGTGTCCCGCCGATGTCCCGTAGTGTCTTGTGGTGGCCCGTGGTGTCCCGTTGAGTGAGATCGATACTGAGATCGATACTGAGATCGATTTGGTGCCCCGAGGTGTCCCGTGGTGCCCCGTGGTGTCCCGGTGAGTGAGATCGATAGTGAGATCGATACTGAGATCGACAGGTGTCCCGTGGTGTCCCGAGGTGCCCCGTGGTGTCCCGTTGAGTGAGATCGATAGTGAGATCGATAGTGAGACCGATAGTGAGATCGAGAGGTGTCCCGCGGTGTCTCGCGGTGTCCCGTGGTGTCCCGTTGAGTGAGATCGATAGTGAGATCGATAGTGAGATCGACAAGTGTCCCGTGGTGTTCAATGGTGTCCCGTGGTGTCCCGTGGTGTCCCGTTGAGTGACATCGATAAAGAGATCGATTGAGTCAGATGTTGGTTCCCCCCTCTCTCCCCCCCAACCTCCTTATCACCCGAAGGGTGGTCGTATAGGTATGAGTATAAAAGAGTCTGACTGTGATAAATGAGTCTGAGTGCGGAAGAGGTGTCGATGAGCAAGTCCGAGCGAGTGCGTCTGAGCGGGGAAAATGGGAGGGAGGTGGCTGAATGAACGAGCGAGGAGCATACAAATCCCAAGAGAAGCCGGCCAGGCGTAAACAGGTAAACCACCTGAGACACCCCTACAATCTGAGCGCAAATTCTGGAGTGTGTTCACTCCTGGCGGCTCCCCCTTGGGGGGTGCCCAAATACCACGTCTGCTAGATCGCGGTCTGCACTGGACAACAAAAATAAAGAAGTCTGGGGAAGCAGAAACAGGCAAACCGCGTGAGACCTTCCCACAATCTGGGTGCGAATCCTGTAATGTCCCCATCCCTGGCGGATCCCCATTGGGGTGCCCAAGTGCCACTCCTGCTAAACCGCGGTGAGCATTGAAGCACCAGCCACCAATAGTGAAAAGTCTGAGTGAGTCTGCATGAGGAAGAGTGTGTCGGAGTGATAGCGTCTGAATTTGTGTGAGTGAGAATGCATCTGAGGCTAACTCCCTTACTGGGTCTGAGTGACTCTGAGTTAGTCTGAGTGAGTCTGTGTCTGAGTGAGTCTGAGTGGGGAAGTGGTGTGGCTGAGTCTGCATGAAGAGCGGGACTTCGGTGGAACACGCGAAGAAGAGTGGGTATGTGATGGACCCCATGATGGGCGTGGGTGATCTCAGTATGAGTATCTGGATGGTATGAGGGTGAAGGAGAGGAAGAGGAGGACGAGGAGGAGGAGGAGGAAGGAGGTCTCGAGGCGTCAAAGTAATAACAAGAACCCCATCTGAGATATCGAAAATAAGTTCGCATCCCTGGCGGCGAAAACGGCTTGGCCTCTACAAGGAGGGCCTGGCGCTGGCGTTGCTACGGCATCTTAGGGCTTTCCTCCCTGGCCCCAAGCCCCCCATGCAGCACAGCGAGAATCCTGCAAACCGTGACGGGACCGAGGGACGAGAAGACTGCGTACGCCAAAACTTCCGGAGGTCCGCGGGGCTGTGCCACGATCGGCGATGGGCCCCCCAGCCGCGCCTCCGGCGCTGCCCCTGGCACGCTCCGCGCGCCGGGAAGGGGGTCCCAGCGCCAATCCAAGGCATCCGCGCGACCCTTCGAATTCGTATGTTTATGATCGTCGTTGGAACTGTCCCCATCTCGGGAGCGGCAAAGAGGGGGGTGTCCAAGAGGGGGGGGGTGCAAATCATGACCGGCGGCATGTGCGCGGCCCAGCGGGGGAGCCAGGGACGTAATGAAATGAGAGGAGGCGCTATAAAATCTGGGGAAATATCGTGGCCCCCGCCATGATATCCACCCCCCCCCCCCTAGTCGTCACCCCCCTCTTTTCCGCCCCCGACGCTGGCGTGGCCTTGGCCCCGGCGGCCGGGTCATCCCGCTGGGTGGGCGCAGATGCTGGTCCCTTCGGCGCTCGCAAGGCCTGTCCCCATCATCGTCATCATCATCATCAACAACATCATCAACATTATCAGCCTCATCATCATCATCATCATCATCATCATCATCATCATCATCAGCAGCAGCAGCAGCAGAAGCAGAAGCAGCATCATCAACATCATCAACATCATCAGCATCATCAGCCTCATCAGAATCATCATCATTATTATCATCAGCAGCAGCATCAGCATCGCCATCATCAGCAGCATGAGCATCATCATCATCAGCATCAGCATCATCATTATCATCATCATAATCATCAGCAGCAGCATCATCAACATCATCGTCGTAATCGTCATCATCGCCATCATAATCAACAACATCATCAGATTCCCCTCCTCATCTCCTCCTCCTCCTCCGTCTCCCGCTCCTCCTCCTCCTCCTCCTCCTCCTCCTCCACCTCCTCCTCCCACTCCTTCTCCTCCTTCTTCTCCTCCTCATCATCATCATCATCATCATCTTCATCCTCCTTTTCCTCATCTGGTCCCCCTCTTCCTGATATCTTCCTCATCTGGCCCTATTCCTTCTTCTCCTCCTCCTCATCCTCCTCCTCCTCTTCCTCCTCCTCTTCCTCCTCCTGCTCTTCCGCCTCCTCCTCCTCCCCCTAATCATCTCTTCATATGCCTCCTCCTCCTCCTTCTCTTCCTCCTCCTCCTCCCCCTCATCATCTATCCAGATTCCTCCTCCTCCTCCTCCTCCGCATCATCATCCTCTTATTATTACTTTCTTAATAATATTCAAAATACTCTTCCTCTTGTTAATATTAGTATTGTGATGACTTATTATTATCATTCGTCTTGGGGCGATTCGTGTATTTAGTATTAGTAGTATTCGAAGTAAGATTACCACCATGTGCATGATTCTTCGTATTATACGTATTCCTCTTCTCTCTCCTCCTCCTCATCCTCCTCCTCCCCCTCATTATCTATTCAGATTCCCCCTCCACGTAGTATTAGTATCAGGCGTCTTATCAGTATTGGTATGGTTAGTGTTCTTATTCGTACAAGTCTCCCTAGTAGGAATATTACTATTAAAATTATTGTTGTTATTAATATTATTGTAGTATGATTACTCTTATTATTAGCAGTTGTCTTCTCCGTAGTCTTCGTATTAGTGTTAGTATCATTAGTATTACGTGTACGTTTGTTCCTCCTCATCCTCCTCCCCCTCATCATCTCTTCATGTTCCTCCTCCTCCTCCTCCTCCTCTTCGCATTCGTCTTATCATTATTATTCGTATTGTTATTCGTATTGTTATGAGTGCTCGTAGTACTCTTACGATTCGTATTCTTACTGTTAGTATTTTGTTATCTATTAGTACTACTATTAGTATTACTATTAGTATTACTATTAGTATTACTATGAGTATTACTATTAGTATTACTATTTGTTATCTATTAATATTACTATTAGTATTACTATTAGTATGTTGTTATCTATTCGTATTACTGTTCTTCGTATTACTATTAGTATTATCACTAATTTTCTTGTTATTATGTATTATGATTCGTAGTATTGTCGTTATTACTATTAATATTGATCCTAGTGTTAATACTATGATTCGGATTTCTCCTGTGATGATTAATATTACTACGATTAGTATTATTATTCTTATTATTATGTTTCTTGGCATTAGTATTCCTCTTCTTCCTCCTCCTCCTCCTCCTCCTCCTCCTCCTTCTCCTCCTCCTCCTCCCCCTCCTCATCGGTCAAACGATGCCGAGCTGATGCAGCGCTTTTGAATCCGAGCTCCAGCTGCTGCAGCTCCTGGAGCTCCGCCTCGTACGCGGCGCGCTCCGCCTCCCGCCGCCGCCGGCGCTCCTGCGCGGCAGCCTGCGCCTCGTCCTCGGCCTTCCCCGGGCGTGCGGCGCCGTGGTGCTCTCAGCAGGGAAGGTCGGGGCGATCAAATAGGAAGGCACCAACTAGACACCAACACCGATCCTGGCCAGGATCACCCTGGGCCCAGGTTCGGTGCATACGCCCTCCTGCCCTGGGCAAGAAGGCATGTACACCGATCATGGGCCCAGGGTGATCCTGGGCCAGGATCGGTGTTGGTGTATAGTTGGTGCCCTCCGATGAAAATGGGCACCCTGGATCGGAGACTTATCAAGGTGGGGTGATTGACCCTCCAGTGACCTCCCGACGGAGCGTACCCACTCCGTTCTCCTCATCCTCCGCTCCCTCCTCCTCCTCCCTCTCCTGCTCAACCTCCTCCGCCTCCTCCTCCTCGTCCTCTTCAAAACGTCCTCACTACCCGTTCCGACAGCACGTGCCCCAACCACCCCCCCACCCCCTCGGTTCCAGGGGGGGGCGATTCTTGCCCCATCCAGGGTACGGACAGAATGGGGACGAAGGCCAACAGCAACTCCTGCCCATTGTGACCAGGGCTCGCTGTCAGCTTCGCTGCGGACGTGGTCCATTTCAGACGAAAGGGCGGCTGGCCAACAGCGCTGCTGTCGGCTTTGAACATCACTTGCTGTTGGGCATCGTGCCATTTTTTTCTGCGCGCATTCTGGGCGTTCCGGGGGGCCCTCTCGGCTTCTCAGCCCCAGCTGCTTGTTCGCGGTCCCCAGAGCCCGGCGGGGAGGGCCCCGAGAGGCCAAAAAACATCAAAACAACCTCCCGCTGCAATCTTTGTACCGTGCGGGGAGGTTCAGACTTCGGGTCATAACTCGGCACTCCAGCGGCCGTTACAGTCATCAGCCTGACCTAAAGAACGATGAATAACAAACGAATAACGCATAAGGAACGATCAATAATACATAACGCATGAGAAACGATCAAAAACGCCAGCCAACCTAAGGAACGACCGAGCCCCTTTTGAAAAGTAAGTGTTCCTTATTCAAGCCGCTCTACCGAACCAAACCGCCCAGAATTATGATCCCTACTGCGAAGACGGGAACCTCAGTAAGGCTACGTCTTCATCGTGTCATTAGGGTTAGGGTTTTTTTAACCCCTATGCTCAAGCTTCAAAAGACCCCGTTCTCGAGGCCAAGGGGTTGTGGCGGACCTCACTGTTTGGAGTGGTTGTTGTTACAGTGTGCTCGTCGTTGTTCTCATGATTGTGCTCCGACGAGGAGTTGTGCGAGGATGATGAGGAGGAGGAGAAAGAGGAGGACGAGGAGGGAGAGGAAGAGGAGGAGGAGGAGGAGGAGGAGGAGAAAGAGGAGGACGAGGAGGAAGAGGAGGAGGAAGGGGAGGCAGGCTGCGACAACCCTGGGAACAAGCCACACGAGAGCACCATCCGCAAGGCGAGGCCCGCCGCTGCACCCCCGCTCTCGAGACCCCCCATCGGCGGTGGACAAACCTCCCTTTCGTAGACCTCCCCTGAGCGAAGACGGCCTGGGACCGAAGCCGACGGACCTGGACCCGCAAAAATGACGGCCGCGACGCCCTCCAGCGAGCCGAAGACGGCCGATTCCTTCATCGACGTGTCAGGGTAGGAGGTCTGTCCACCTCCGACCCCACCGATGTCCAGAGGCCTCCTAGATGGGGTCCGAGTAGATGGGGTCGGAGGATCTCGCCACATCGCCGATACATCGGCGATGCATCGCCGATGCATCGGTGATGCACCCGCCATGCACTGGCGACGTCGGCGATGCATCGGCGACGTCGGCGCGGAGAAAAATGTGCTCAACATCAATGAAGGGGCCCCAGGACACACAAATAAATACACACAAATATGTAAAAGCCACTCTGACCGTCCACCATTATGCAGTGCAGGATAGCGACTATAGGCAGTATTATATGAGATTCGGTTGATAGTTGTAGAGTCTCTTTTGCAGTAAACTCATCCTACTGTTCCTGTCTGAGTTGGTTTCTGTCTTCCCCCCCCACTTCCCATATTTTCCCATATTTTCCTGGGAATCGCCGATTAATTGTGTCTGTGTGTTTCTTTCCCTCCTGAATCAAGCCGTATCGTTGATGCATTGCCGATGCATCGGCGATGCGGCGTGATCCTCCGACCCCATCTACTCCGACCCCATGTAGGAGGCCTAGAATGTCCTCCTCCTCCTCCTCCTCCTCCGCATCCTTCCTCCTGCCTACCTCTTCCTCGTCCTCCTCCTCCTCCTCCTCCTCCTCCTCCCCCCCTCCTCCTCCTCCTCCTCCTCCTCCTCCTCCTCCTCCTCCTCCTCCTCCTCGGTGGGGTCCGAGGTCTGTCCACCTCCGAGCCCACCGATGCCGTCCACGGCGCCAGCACGTCCGGGCCTCGTCCTCGGCCTGGGCGGGCGGCGGCGGGCCTCGCGCCGCCGGCGCCGCGGGCGCCTGGCGCTCGGCCTTGCTCTTGCTGCGCCCGCCGGTCTTGGACTTGGACCGCGCGCGGTCCAGGGCCGCCTCGCGCAGGTTGTGTTGCATCCTCGGGGGACCTTGTCTGTCCCGTCGCGGCCCTGTCCGCGTCGGATCCGCGTCGAGTCCATGTCGGACGCGTCGGATCCGTGTCGGATCCGTGTCGAATCCGCGTCGAATCCACGCCAAATCCGCGTCGAGTCCGCATCGAGCACGCGTCGGGCCCCCAAAAAGACACCAAATTTGGGGACAGGCGAGGTCCCCCGAAGATGCAACAGAACGCTGGGCTCGAGCGGGCGCTGTCCTCGCGCTCTTCGGCGGCGAGGGAGAGGGGGGGAAGCGAGGAGGAGGAGGCATTCTCAGAGGTCGGCGGGACTTCTCGGAAGCCCTCGCGCCTTCTGAGAAGTTGCTTCTGTCTTCTGGGACGGCTTGGAAGAACTCTCAGAATGCCGGGGGCCTTCCGAACCTTCTGAGAAGGCCTTCTCCTCGCTTTCCCCACGCGTTCGCCGCCGAGCTCTGCCTTGGCTGCGAAGCGAGATCGGAGCGAAAACGGACCGCGAGCTCGCACCAGCACACACCGTTCAGCCCGAGCCCCCGGCCTCGCGGGCGAGCTGCCGCTCCTCGGCCAGCGCGCGCTTCTGCTCCATCTTCTCCTCCCTCTTCGACTTCGCCGAGGGGGCCGAGGGCTCGTCGGCCGCTCGGGGCGCCGGGCCTCGGACGTTCGTTCAAAGAATGCCACCGCATGAAAAAATCGAGGGTGGTTGACGCGCTCTGGCTTCGGATGCAGTCAACCCGCAGAGTAAGGATGCGCGACAAGGGTGCAAGGGCCTTGGGCGCCCATTTCGAAGCTTCCCGAGCGGGGCGCGGCCAACGAAAGTGTCCAAGGATGGACCCAGCAAGCAAGGATGCAAGGGTACCCTTGGGAGGGATGCCTATCCTTACTCTGCGGGTCGACTGTATCACCATGCAGCGTGCCTGACACCCACTCTTTGGGGCGCGGGGCGCTGAGACAAGAAAGCCTGGGCCACCGAACACGCAGGCCGCCAGAGACGTCCCCGCAGATCTGGGCGCGAACCGGCGAGTGTCCTGGCCCGCTGGCGGGCTCCTCCCCGGAGCGCTCAAATACCGCACCCGCTGCATCGCCATGAGCACGGGGCGCTGACGAGAAGAATGGGTCCGGGCCACCGAGCGCGCAGGCCGCCGGAGACGTCCCCGCAGATCTGGGCGCGAACCGGCAAGTGTCCCAGCCCGCTGGCGGCTCCCCCTGGAGCGCTCAGAAAAGTCGGGCCTGCTGCATCGCCACTTGGCATGGGGCTCTGAAAACAAAAATCGGCGGTGGACAAACCTCCCTTTAGTAGACCTCCCCTCAGCGAAAACGGCCTGGGACCGAAGCCGACGGACCTGGACCCGCAAAAATGACGGCCGCGACGCCCTCTCGCGAAACGAGAACGGCCAATTCCTTAATCGACGTGTCAGGGTAGGAGGTCTGCCCACCTCCGAAAAAAAAGCCTTCGCCACCAAACTGGCAAACCGCCCGAGGCATCCCCACAGTCTGGGCGCGAAGGGGCACGTGTCCCAGCCCCTGGTAGGCTCCCCCACTGGGGCCCTCAACTGCCACGACGACGACGACGACGACGACGACGACGACGACGACGACGACGACAACGACCCGGGGGAGGAGGATGGGGAGGAGGAGGACGAGGAGGAGGACGAGAAAAAGGAAGAGGGCGAGGAGGAGGACGAAGCGGAGGAGGAGGAGGCGGAGGTGGAGGAGGAGGACGAGGAGGGACGGGCGGAGGCCAGATCATGCGGGGCCACAGAGGGCAGCGACGGGGCCACCGAAGGCGGCAACGGGGCCACGGAGGGCGCGAGCGACGGCGACCGCGGAGCCGCTGCGGGCAGCGACGGGCCTCGAGAGCGGGCGACGGGCAGCAGGAGGCGGCTGCGGTCCATAGCGGGTCCGTCGGGCGGGCGGGGCCCCGACGGGCGGGTCGAGCGGGCGGGCCGCTGACGCGAGAGTCCTGCTGGAATCGCCAGGAAATCTCTTCGCGAGAGCGCAACTCCCAAGAAGACCTGGAGGGAGCCCGAAACGAAAGCGCGAGTCCCTGAGTGCCGACGGGCGGCATCGGAATGAGTTGTGGGGAAGTCTCGAGCGAGAGCGCGGTTCCTGAGCAGATTGCACGGAAGTCGGAGGCCAAAGTCGAACTTCTCAACGCATCGTGACGAGGCATCGGGCGGGAGCCGTTGTTGCTGCAGTCCAGGGGCCCGCCGCCCGTGTCGAGGAGCGGCATCTGAATAAACTGTTGGGAAGTCTCGAGCGAGAGCGCGATTCCTGAGTATATTGCAAGAAAGTCTCAGGCGCGAAGGCATGATGTCGCAATAAACTGTAAAGAAGTATCCGGCGCGCGCCGTTGTTGCTGTAACTCGGGGGCCCGTCGCCCAGTGTGAAGCTCAAGAATTTCCCTGATAAAACAACAGATGCGAGCCCTGGGAGAGGCACTTCAATAGGAAACATACAATGTGTACGGGGGACCTACAATATTTGTTGCTTCAAAAATAAACGTTCAACAACCACAGCAACAACAATAACAACAATTCGTTCTTATCTGCTCGCGGGCCGTTCAACACGTATATTCCCAACCCTCGATGTCCGCCATCTTCGTCTTCGATTGTACCCCCTTGGGGGTGCATATTTTCCCAACCCTCCATTGGTTGGGTTCTCGTTTTGAATACGGCAGTGGGGTCTCCAGTCCTCCATTCCCCTCCGTCCGCTCTCTGTCCCCTTCTCGCTTGTCTGCACCTGCCTGCACCTCCCTGCTGGGAGCCCGCACGATGGGGCCCCACGCGGACCCAAACGGGACCTCGCCATCCCTGGGGGGCTGCGCGAAGTGTGAAACGGTCATGTTCGAATGATGCCTGGCCGGGCAGTACCATGGGGCCCCACGCGGACAAATACGGGACCTGGCCATCCCTGGGTGGCCGCGAAGTGTGGAACTGTCGCCACGTTCGAGAGACCACACAGCGGCGCCCCACGCGGACCCAAACAGGACCTCGCCATCCCTGAGGGGCTCCGAAGTATGAAGTCATCGCCAATGTCGAGGGTTGCCAGGGAAGCCCGCACAGCGGGGCCCCACGCGGACCCAAACGGGACCTCACCATCCCTGGGGGGCTCCGAAAGGTGAACACGTCGTCGTGTTCGAAGGCTGCCTGGGGGGGCCCGCACAGGAGGGTCCCACGCGGCTCCAAAAGGGACCCGGCCATCCCCTGGGTGGCCGCGAAGTGCGAAGCTGTCGCCACGCTCGAGAGCTGCTGGGGCAGCACGGTCTCAAACTAGAACCCGCCATCCCGGGGGGGGGGGCTGCGGAGTTTGAAGCTGTCGCCACGCTTGAAGGCTGCTGGGGGGGGGCAGCACAGCGGGGCCCCACGCAAATCCAAACGGGGCATCGCCATCCCCTTGGAGGGGGGTGCGGAGTGTGAAATTGCCGCCACTTTCGAAACCAGCTGACAGGGGGCCAACGCAGTGGGGTGCCACGCAAGTCCAAGCGGGACCTCGCCATCCCTGGGGGGGCTGCAAAGTGTGAAACGGTCGTCATGTTCGAACGGTGCCTGGCGGGGCAGTACCATGGGGCCCCACGCAGATCCAAACGAAGCCTCGCCATCCCCTGGGGGCTGCGAAGTGTGAAATTGTCGCGACGTTCGATGGCTGCTGGGGGGGGGGCCAGGGGACCTCGCCGTCCCTGGGGGAGAGCTGCGAAGTGTGAAGTTGTAGCTACTTTTGACGGTTGCTGGGGGGCAGCACAATGGGGTCCCACGCAGACATCGAGGACCTCGCCATCCCTGGGGTGGGGCTGGCCGCACAGGTGTTGGGATGTTCTGCATGGAAAACGCAGCGCTTCATTGTCTGGTGGCGTCTTCGCCTATGTGACCTTATCTTGCCCATGCTCCATCATCTCGCTGTTTCTGCGGAGGTTACTATGGTGTCACCCCGATGCCTTCTTTGTGCTTCTCCTTTCTAATACAGTGTCTCCTGGCCTGTTGTACCTCTGTTCTGCGAGCCCGCCACGCACACTTCGCACGATATAGATATCCACCGTGCACCGTCTCTTTGAGTGTTGTTGCCACACGATTGTCGGCACACCTTACATCATCCTGCGGTGCCGATGGGTTGGGTACGCCGCAGGGTAAGTTCTCTTCTGCAACACGTATTTCGTGCAGCCCCTAAGACAGGGGAAGAGAGGACGGATGGAAGGCAGGGAAAAGGGGGAGGGAGGAGGACGGAGCACGAGAGAGAATAGCAGGAGGGGGGCAAGGAGCAGAAAACACGTGGCAGAACCAGACGAGCAAATCGGGCGGGTAGACCCTGACGGGCGGGTCGGAAAGGCGGGCCCAGGCGGCCAGGTCGAGCAGGCGGGTTGTTGAAGCGTGCGTCCTGCATGAATCGCGAGGAAGTCTCGAGCTGTAACGCGATTCCTAAATCAATCGTCAGGAAATCTACAGCAAGAGCGTGATTCCTGAGTGTCGAGGGCGCGGCGTCTGACTAAATAGCGAGGAAGTCCCACGCGAGAGCGCGATTCTTCTTTCAATTGTGAGGACGTCCCTCGCGAGAGCGCGTTTTGGGAATAAGTTGTGAGATATCAGGCGGGAGCCGCTGATGTTGCAAACCAGGGGCAAGGGGATCAGTTTGATGACCCTTCGCAACTCCGAGGAAGGACCCCACATGATGATCTCCTTAGTGTGCATGAGAATCCCCATCATCAACGGATAACGATGGTGATGATACCAGGATGCCAGGATACCAGAATATGACCCCTGGGACCTGTGGGAATCGTGGGAGCTGTACAACCTGTGGGGCTTGATGGATCTGTGGGGCCTGTGGGCCCCGTGGGACCTGTAGGAATTGCGAACTCGCTGGCACGTGTGACACGCGTGGGACCTGCGGGCCGTGTGGGACCTGTGGGACCTGCGGGGCCCGTGGGACCTGTGGGACCAGTGGAAGCCCCGGAACTTGTGGAGCCTGCCGGACCTGTGAGACCTGTGGAACCCGTGGGACCTGCTGCAACCTACGGGGCCCGTGGGAACTGCGGGGCCGTGTGGGACCTGTGAGACCTCCGTGCCCGGTGGGACCTGTGGGACCTGTGGGCCCCTCGGCATTTGATGGACTTGCGGGCCTGCGCGACCTGTAGGGCTTGGGCGCGAGGCGAAAACACCGCAAGACCTGTGCGACCTGCGGCGCCTGCGTTGGGCCTGTGGGACCTGTGCGACCTGTGCGACCTGTGGAACACGTGAGATCAGTGGAGCCTGTTAACCATTTGGGACCTGTGCGACCTCAGGGAGGGAGGGAGGGAGTTCCCGCCTGAAACTCCCGCGCATTTCGCTCCCAGACGAGGCTCCCGCCTGAGACCTCCTCGCAATTCACTCACAGACGAGGCTCCCGCCTGATACTCCCTCCATATTCAAGCCCGAGGAGCCCTAAAGTGACGGCATCTACAGCTTTGAGAATGACCCGCTCGAGTGAGGGCAAAAAAAAAGCCGCGGGCCCCACGCGGACCCCACAGGGAAGAGGCTCCCGCCCGAGACTTCCTCGCAATTCGCTCCCAGGCGAGGCTCCCGCCCGAGACCTCCTCGCAGGTCACTCACAAATTGAGGCTCCCGCCTGATGCTCCCGCCATACTCAAGGCCTGTGGCGCCCCAGAGCCCCAGAGTGACGACAGT